TTTTTGGATGGCTCCTCCTCTTTAAGATAATAATTCAATATAAAATACGGATTCCTAAAGATACTATGTAACTTAGAATATGCATTTGGAAAGACCATTCCCAAGGTACTGGTACAATTAAGTGCATTAACTATAAAATACTTACAATTAACTCATCATCTTCAGTTTAGGAATGTAAACAATGACAACTCTTGGATTAAGTTTGCAGTGTTCACAGTAACATGCAGTGCATTTCCTTTCTCTCGCCCTCTACAGTGAGATTAAGTGAAAATTCAGTATTGCAATTAATTATGTCTGGCTTTGGAATTGCTACATTTAGTGTCTCAGTCTGTTATAGGATCAGGTCTATACTAGCTTTTTTTAACTTCTACTATCATGATGGATATGCCCCTTACCAGAAGAGATTATGCCTAATACCCCTTGCTACTCCACACAAGGCCTCAAACCATTTCAATGAAACATTTCTGTTTAACATGAAAAATCAAATTAAAGAAAGAGAAAATAAAATTAAGTAAATTGGTATTTATGGAGTACTTACTAGATACCAGACAATGTGGCCAGCATATTCAGTTACATTGAGATGCGTGAAGTAGCATGAAACAAAGGCTTTAGAGATATACAAATTGGTCTCAAGTCTATTTTAGAAGATCTCTTTAGGGCTAGTGTTGTGGTACAGCAGGGTTGGGCTGTTGTTTAGGATTCCAGCACACCATATTGTAGTGCCAGTTCAGTTCTGGCTGCTCCACTTCTGATCCAGACTCCTACTAATGCATCTGGGAAAGCAGTGGCAGATAGTCCAAGTTCTTGGGCCCCTGCCAACCATGTGGGAGGCCCAGATGGAGCTCCTGGCTCCTGGTTCCTGGCTCCTGGCTTTGGCCTGGCCCAGCCTTGGCTGTTATAGCCATTAGGGGAGTGAACAAACATGGATGACCTCTCTCTCTCTCTCTCTTCCTTTTAGATAAACAAAATAAAGCTGTAAAAATGATCTCTTCACCACTTGAGACCTCATCTTTCAAATATATAAAATAGGGTTGTGGATGGTATCTGCTATATGAGATTTTGATAAAGTGTAAGTGAAATAACCCATGTAATAATATCTATATAAATATATGCCTAAAAGTTAAATGATGCTAGATCATGAATAGTTGTATTTATTACTGTGTTCTCAGTGATACCGCAAATCATAACACACAAACTAGACTCAGCCACAGTGCTGTTTGCTACATGATGTCTTAAAAAACCTCTTAGCCTTCGGATGACCCACACATCTGCTGCTGAAGCCTCTTCCCTTGCAAGACAAGGACTAATGTCCAGATCACTCCAAGGACTCTCTCAGACTGGCAAGTGGGGTAGTAGTTTAGATGCTGCATGGGATGCCTGCATCCCATGAGGGAATGCCTGGATTCAGGTGCTGGCTCTGCTCCCTTTTCAAGCCTCCTGCGTATCACCCTGGAAGCCATGGGTAAGGACTCAAGTATTTGGGTCCCTCCTACCCAGGAGGGAATGCAAACTGCATTCCAGATTCCTGACTTCAGCCTGGACCAGCCTCAGCTGTTGTGGACATTTCAGAAGACATTGTTGCTGAATAAATTATCTTATTGAAGACTCAGTGTAAAACACTGAGGAAATAAGGCACAGCTCATACATTTGTGAAAATCAGGGCTAATGAGGGCCAGCACTGTGGTATAGTGGGTTAAGCTGCCGCCTGTGGTGCTGGCATCCCATATGGGTGCCAGTTTCAGTCCTGGCTGCTCCACTTCTGAGCCAGCTCTCTGCTAATGGCCTGGGAAAACAATAGAGGATGGCCCAAGTGCTTGGGCTCCTGTACCCACGTGGGAGACCTGTAAGAAATTCCTGGCTCCTAGTTTCAGATGGGCTCAGCTCTGGCCATTGTGGCCATGGAGTAGTGCACCAGAGGATAGAAGACTTTTCTCTCTGTCTCTTCCTCTCTGTGTCTGTGACTCTGCCTCTAAATAAATAAATAAGTCTTTAAAAAGAAAAAGAAAATCAGGGCTAAATGTAGAGACTGGTCTAACAAATGGTAAAGAAACAGTAGAATATATTATAGTAAGCATTTTCATGGAATTAGCTGTAAGGATTGAAGATGAAAATTCCTGCATTTCATGGGTGGATCAATAAAGCTGACACATCCCATCTCTCTGATAGTAGCAGATGGATGAGGACTTGCTAGGATGTTCTAGAGTGGAAGGTGTTGAGAAAGGGGAAAGGAAGGACATTCCATACAAAATGTGCCATGATTTAGATATTGTTTTACCTTCAGAGCCCATGGGTGGAGGGCTTGTCCTCAGTGTGGATGGTTTTTTGTTTGTTTGTTTTTAGAGAAAGAGGGATAGAGAGAGCAAGATCTTCCATGCACCAGTTCACTTCCAAAATTGTTGCAATAACTAGGGTTGGTCTAGGCTGAAGCCAGGACCCAGGAGCTTCTTCCAAGTCTCCCATGTGGGTGCAGGGGCCCAAATCTTCCACTGCATTCCCAGAAACATCAGCAGAGAGCTGTATTAGAAGTGGAGCAGCTGGGACAGAAACTGGAGACCACTGGGGTACAGGGATTGTAGGCAGTGGTCTAACCTAGTATGCTACAACACCAGCCCCAGTGTGGGAGGTTTTGAGGTGATGGAATCTTTATGAAGTACGAGTTAATACTGGTCTCTTGGATTAAGTTTGTTCAGTCAAGAGGGATGATGTAAAATAGCATGAGCAAACTTGAGCCCTGAATGTCTATGGCTTCATGTTTTGCCATGGGAACAACCATGTGATGCTGTGCATCATGAGGTCTTCACCTGAGTTCAGCCAAAGCTAGCACTATAATCTTTTTTTTTTAATATATATTTATTTTATTTGAAAGTCAGAGTTACACAGAGAGAAAAGGAAAGACAGAGAGAGAGAGGGAGGTCTTCCATCCGATGGTTCTCTCTCCAGTTGGCCACAATGGCCAGAGCTCCACTGATCCAAAGCCAGGAGCCAGGAGCTTCCTCCAGTCTCCCACGTGGGTGCAGGGGCCCAAGGACTTGGGCCATCCTCCACTGCTTTCCCAAGCTATAGCAGAGAACTGGATCGGAGGTAGAGCAGCCGGGACTAGAACCGGTGTCCATATGGGATGCCGATGCTTCAGGCCAGGGCGTTAACCTGCTGCGCCATAGTGCTGACCCCAACACTATAATCTTGAGTCTCTGAAATTGTGGGCTAAATCATCTTCCCTTCTTTAGGAAGTAAAAACAAACAACAAACAAACAAAAACTCAGTGAGCTACCTCAATAAACATTAATTTTCTATTCTTATCTTTTCAGGGCTGGTGGAGTGTTTGCCAAATTGAGTCTGGATTTGACCGGGTATGGCTCAGAGCTACAGGCTGAATACAGGTCAGCTTTAGCTATGTGTCACCCTCCTTGTCCCAGTCAGTGGCTACTGAGACCTATACTTCTCATGACAACACAGTAGATCTGAAAGTTAAAACTGCATATACCTGGACAAGCAGGTTTCAAGCATCTGCTTCAGTCACATCTGCTCACAGCCCATTGACCAAAGGTTGAGTTAAAAGTCAAGGCAAAGGGCCGGTGCTGTGGTGCAGTGGATTAAAGCCCTGTCCTGAAGCACCGGCATCCCATATGGACACCGGTTCTAGTCCCAGCTACTCCTCTTCTGATCTACTGCTATGGCCTGGGATAGCAGTAGAACATGACCCAAGTCCTTGGGCCCCTGCACCCACATGGGAGACCTGGAAGAAGCTCTTGGCTCCTGACTTCAGATCAGCACTGCTCCAGCCGTTGCAGCCATTTGGGGAGTGAACCAGCAGAGAGAAGACCTCTCTCTCTGTCTCTACCTCTCTCTCTGTCTTTCAAATAAATAAAATAAATTAAAAAAAAAAAGTCAAGGCAAACACTTGTGGAAAATGAGCATATGTTTGTGAAAACATCATTCAGAATACCACGGTAGTTATTTTGACTTAGTGCTTTAATCAGTTTTTAAAATATGCACAAATCATCTACATTATCAAATACTTTTAAAAACTATACAACTGGCTAATTTGGAGTTTGCCTGAAGAAAGGGGGAAGACTCAAATAATCTCTATCTGCATAACCATGAAATAACAATGAATAACCACACCAAAAGATGGACAAGTGATGATCGTGAATAATAGATTAAGTAAAGAATTCATAGTTCTAAAGATTTTTGCTTCATGTTACATGAGAAACATTTTTACTGTGTGTTATGAAAACTTAAAAGAAATGGAAGTCTCTAGTTTTCTCTGTGTTTGTGGCAATTTGAGGCAATTAGTTTTCCATTTGTTTTAAATTTAATATTTATATATCTGTTCAGGCCCTTTTGCACCCTTTGGTTTTGCCCAATAATTTAGTTACTCTCTCAAAAGATATGTACTGAATGCCTACTATGCACCAGGCTCTGTGCTAGTTATTGAAGAAACATCTGTGGTTATAAGAGTTTTCCAAATTGGAAACTTCTAAGACATGAATAAAAAAATTGATTCCTTAATTTCAACAAAGCCTTAAAGGGCAAAAAGCAATTTGGAAACAGATTATGTTGTGAGCAGAAGAAATACCTTACTCTGTCACCCAACTCAAGTTTGTGTCTCTCTGCGAAGTCAGGATTCATTGTGAGTCATCCAATCAAATCAACTACAGAAGTCCCAGCCCAGAGGTACCCAGAGGTGAATGTGCCTCCTGAAAATCATTAGTAAGGGCAAACCTATGCAATGCAAATGGCAAATCCTTAATCCAATAGACTATACCTATCCGGTAATTCAAGCAATCAAGCAACATACTTAATACATTACCTCTCTTATTAGAAAAGTAGGCAAAATGACCTAAGTTAACAATTAATCATAATAATTAATAATACCAAGGATTGCTAGTAGATTAAGTAGTTACAGGAATAGTGAGAAGTTAACAAACCAGTTCAAGGAGATGAGTGGAGAGATAACAGGGGCGGGGCTGCTCTGCAGATCACTGAGGTTTCTTGTCATTGCAGTGAGCTCTTCCTTCTTCTTATCAACTGTGCAGCACTCTCCTCCGGCCTTGGCCTCGGGTGCAGAATGTCCAGGAACTTCTGGGCAGTTGCCAGGTTAGTGGGCCTCACTCAGCTTCATGGAATGAAGGGCAGAGGGGTTCACATTGCTGTCTGAGACTGTTCCTCTTTATATGTGCACCCTTAAGTTGTTTTGTCTCAAGTTATAAGTTGTTTTTCCAGTCTTATCGGGGCATGAGCCTGCACGAATCCCATCGTTGTATCAGTTTTATCTATATTTGCAGATGTGGAACTTAAACTCTAAAATCAACATATTTTTCTGATTTTTATGTAAAGACATAGAGCAGTTCAAATATCTTGCTTTAAAACGAATTCCAAAAGCAAAATGGAGTTAAGGAAGTAAAACGAAGTAGATTTTACCAGTTTGTGAAATGTTCTGAACAGGTTACCTACAACCCTAAACACACTTCACGTATACACGTTTAGGACATTTGGGGAACACTGAATGAAATAAAAATGAGATCTAAATGGGTACCTACTGCTTCAAGTGTGTTGCTTAAAAGAGCAGGCATGTCGCATAGCTTGGTGCACTTTAAAACTTTTAATTAGGTTTTTAGAATTCTTTTAATTTGTCGCTTCTAGTGAAACAAGTTAATCAGTAAGTAGTCATTGATTTTCAGGTCTTGTGCTCTTGAAGCAATTTCTGCACACCTCAGTTTGAGGCTAGAATGATTACACTTAGAAAGTCTGCAAACTAAAGCCGCTCACGGCGGACTTGTGCTACTGATTTGCAAGCGTGCTGGCTCTGGGTGAAAACGGCGTCATTTCTCTCCATTATAAAATCCATCAAAAAGATGGTACACAGGAGACCCAGTTCATGTGTACAAAGACACACAGAATTAAAGGGCTGCTTAATTAATTGCTGGATTAGAATGGAATAATCTCAAAAGCCACATTGGGATGCTGAGCTGCTTTCTACTACATTTTTTTCTTTAGTTTCAATTCAGCATCAGCCACCTAGCGACAATTAGTGAAGGCATGGAAGTTTGCACCTTCCCTTTAGACCTTCTGTTGGTTTCTATCTTGTCGTTAAGCTCAGAGCTCCTTTTCAGCAAGAAGTGGAGAGGGTTGGTACAGAGTCTCCCAGGACCGTGATTAATGGTGTGCCTTCATTATCTATCATTTTACCACCTTGAACCCGCAACCTGACTTTAAGTGCACCCTATAAGCACACACCCCATGGTGCATCTCTGCAAGTTTCACCAGAAAAGACTTCATTTCTCCTCTAATTACCATCACAACAGTTTCCATTATGGTTTGGCCCTAGTAATTTAGTTATATTTATGCTGCTACAATGCACCAAATAGATAATAATGAATACTGATGCAACCCTTAGGTTGAAACAAACTATAATTATGCAGACTTAATGAAGTTACCAGAAAAGGCAGTATGTAAAAAACATACTCAGATTAAGAAAATACACACATACACACACACACACACACACACACTGAACGTTTCACATTCCCAAAGCTCTGCATTAAGCTGAGAAATTCCTGGAGCCTTGAACATGTGCTGTTCATATCTCTTCTTGCTTTCTGGTCTGTGATTTCTGAACTTACACAGTCATAAACCAGACTTTCAGCTTACTCTTCCCAGTGCTAACTGTATTTGTCAAATGAAGACAAACAGCTGCATAATTTACGTAGTGAATTAAAAGGACTACTCACTTGGTAATCCATTTTAGTACTAAATATAATAAATAAAAATTTAAAAACATTGAGTTTGGTCAAGATACTGGTAATGATATCCATTAGATGAAACAGGACCGATGGCTGGTGTTCCTTAAAATAGTTGCTAACAAAGTCACTGCACCTGCAAACTAAAGTTATATCCAGCTAGCAGTTCATGAAAAATGAAATTGAATCAGAAGTTGCATTTGTGCAAGTTGATGCTTAGCAAGCAGTGTGTGGAAGGGAAAAGCAAAACGATGGGGAGAATGGTTGTACCATGTTAACAATAGAAGTGTTTCTTTGGAAAAATTTAGGTGAACTCTGGAACCAGGAAAACAGGACTGAAAGAATAATACACACCTAAGTATTCAGTGTTAAACCTCCCTTTTTAACAGAGATAAGATGTAGAAAATAGTACATACAAGTGCCTCAGTATTTCACTGACGTTTTTACTTTTATCCTGGAACTTTTCCTATTTTTTTATTTTTTTAAAGATTTATTTATTTATTTATTTTTGAAAATCAGATTTACAGAGAGAGAAGGAGAAGCAGAGAGAGAGAGAGAGGTCTTGCATCCACTGGTTCACTCCCCAATTGGCCAGAGTGGCCAGAGATATGCCGATCCAAAGCCAGGAGACAGGAGCTTCTTCCCAGTCTTCAATGAGGTGTAGGGGCCCAAGGACTTGGGCCATCTTCTACTGCTTTCCCAGGTCACAGCAGAAAGGTGGATCAGAAGTGGAGCAGCTGGGACATGAACCAGTGACCATATGGGATGCTGGTACTGCAGGCCACGGCTTTACCTACTCCTCCACAGCGCCAGATCCAACTTTTCCTATTTTTTGCTTTTTCCTTAGTAACCACCTGAGGAAAATGGAGAAGCAAGAAGAAAGTGGCTTCCGTGGCTGGGCTGCCCCTCTGGAAAGAGGGAGGAGGAAGTCCTCTGGGCTTCCTATTTCTCACCTCTTATCTAATAGAATTTCTTGTCAACTTAAAAAACAATCCTATATATCGTCTATTGCATGGAATAACTTGTACAGTTATCAATTTCTAAGAAGGATGATATCATTAATACAGAGCCAAGTCCCTGTAATAAAAATTCCCTTAATAGTTTAGGGGTCATGTTAAACTATCTATGGCTATTCAGACCCAACTGGTTTAAATTCCAAAAGATCCTTTAGAGAGATTTCTCTCATTCTCTTCATTGTTGAATAGTTCTCAACTATTTCATGCCTCAGTAGGCCCACATTCCTATTTTAAGTACATATCTGGGTAGCAGATTAAGAGAAAAAGGATAGAGGCAAAACAATTTGCCAAAAGTACTTTTTTTTTTTTGACAATTTTCACCCCATTTCTTCACCAAGGCCTAACTAGGAATACATCCTGGCCAACCTGCACTTTTTATGCACGCTCATGTATTTCATAGCTACATTATGCACCCTCTCTTATCTCTACTACTTCTTTGATCCATTAAGTAGCCTTTTCTCTTCCCCAGGTGAGCTAGCTTATTAACCAGGGAGCAATTATTCATCTGGGAGTCGTTTCAGTATCTCATATTAAGAAGTGAAGCTGCTGTGTTTTGCTTCACCTGCTATCCTCCTTTCTATCTTTGTAATTGGATTTCCTGATGAGAATGAAGCTGCAGTGAGGACAGATGTTCTTAAAATTAAAAAAGGAAAAAAGGCTAAGGACCAGGGAAAGCATATAAACTTAAGGATGATTTGTGTTGTTAAAAATCAAGTTCGCGTGCTTTGGATTTCATACACGTTTCTGATTAAAATAAGCCAAGATGAACCTTTGACTCCAACAAACTTCATTTTCCATAGCACAGAAGAGATGAGGTGGGCATGCAGGGGATGTGCCTCATGACACTTGGCAGGTATTTTCTTCAGCTAGTTCTACAGGTATCTGGGCCTCTGCAGAGAAGTATTGCTGCTGTACTCACCCAAGGAGTTATATTAAAGAGAAGTCTTTAGCTAGAGAGTTGAGAAGTGTCAGTTCTTTATTCATTTTAAATGTTCTGATTTTGGCTCAAATAGGAGGCATGTGTCCCCAGTTAGATTCTGGATGCTATACCATAAGTACAATAAAATACAGTAAAATGAAGTAAACTGAAAAATGAAACTGAACAAAAGACCTCTTGTGATCTCCCAATCACAAGGTTTAGGTAAGGCTCAAGGATTAATCTTCACCCATACACGTTGGTTCCATCCATCAGTTTTATCATGAAGTTGGCTTAAAACTGAGGATACATCTTGTCTTTCACTACATGTGATGGATTCCAGATGTTCAGATTAAATAATGGTGCTCCCCTGTAGACATAATGGACCATAGCAGCAACGTAACTAGGCAAAATGAGCAAACCAGGCCCTGCAAATGATCTTAATTATTTCAACTAGGAGAGAACAGAAAAGCACTGGGTAATACAACAAACAGCTCTTTGAAAGAGCAAACGAAAAGCCCTGGTAATTTACATTTAAGTCCAACCCGCTCCCTGCAAAGTATAATGTGTGTGGAATAATACAGGAAGAAATCTAGCACTATACCATTTTCATAATTGGTATTCTATGTCAAGTCTCCAGCAGCAAGAAGCATATAAATCATAATGTTAATATTGCTTTTCACTTTTTAATGGTATTTTACACAGTATTATTGCTGGAAATATGAAGGTGTTTTTATATCATTCAAGATATATTTCTTGTGCTTCCAGCACTAGAAAAAGCAGTGAAAAATGTCATAACTTGGATGAGTCAGATTTATATAGCATATACACTCATATACATTTAAACGTATATACACACACATATGCAGATGTATGGAAACAAACATATATCTTTATTTTTACTTTCCATGATTAAGAGAAAGTACAGCTTATGTTCTACTTGGCATAATACTTCCTAAATACAGGCTTCCAGGCACTGGAAAATGGAGTAAAATTGAAGTCTCTGTCAATGCTGGTCAGAAGGTGAGTTCTATCCTTGCAATCTTTTGTGGGTCTCTACTAAGCCGTAAATTAATCTGTCCGAGTCATTGACACTGATCCACAAAGCACAGGTGGCAGTCTCTTTTCATACACACCAAAGAGAGTGAGATAAAAATAAATTGTGCTGCCATTAAAAACATGCCAAAATAATATTTTTCCCATCTGCTAAGTCCAACCCCTGTGGTAAGCGAACTAACAGGTTTCTACACTCAGACTCGATGAACAGACACCACAAGCAATTCATTAACAGTAACATGACAGGAGTCAATTGGATTTCTCACTTCTAGACATTAATCAAAGCTAAAAACAGAATGTGCACCCTGTGTAACACTCAGGCTTGTGGGTCTTCAGATGTGGCTGCTCCCAAGTCATTTTCTATCTAAA